CCTAACTAACTTCCTCCCTTCCTAACTAGCTTCCTCCCTTCCTAACTAACTAGCTTCCTCCTTTCCTAACTAACTAGCTTCCTCCCTTCCTAACTAATTAGCTTCCTCCCTTCCTAACTAACTAGCTTCCTCCCTTCCTAACTAAGTAGTTTTCTCCCTTCCTAACAAGCTTTCTCCCTTGCTAACTTCCTCCTTTCCTAACTAACTAGCTTTCCCCCTGCCTAACTAACTAGTTTCCTCCCTTCCTAACTAATTAGCTTCCTCCCTCTCTCCCTTCCTAACTGGCTTCCTCCCTTCCTAACTAACTAGTTTCGTCCCTTCCTAACTTCCTCCCTTTTTTCCTTCTAGTTGACTTTAGAGCGTTTTGAACAAGGGAATAAAATAATCAGATTTATCTTTTAAAAGAATCACTTTGGCTGTTGGATTCTTAGGAACTCGTATTGTGCCAGGCTGTTCTAAGCACTTTACATATATTAATTCATCGAATTCTCATTACAGTCTAAAAGGTAGGCTTTACCGTTATTATTACTCCCATTGTGCAGGTGGGGAAACCTAGTCACAGAGTGGTTAAGTGATTTGCCCAAGGTCACACAGTAAGCAGCATGCAGCACGCACCCTCAGCTCCTCTCTGCAGCGCTGCAGAGTGACTGCAGACAGGAGTGGCATCCGCAGATCGAGTGGGAGGCTCTGGGGAAGCCAGGTGACCTGCCAGTGCCTCAGACCAGGCTCCAGGTGCTGATATCAGATTCAGCTGACTGTATGTCAGTATGTGTAAAATGCTCTTGTTTCTAAGTTGCGTTACTTAGTATACTACTAACAAATGGAAGGGCTGCCAATTAGTCTGTGACACAGTGCCTTCTCATTCTTGTGCTTTCATAACAAAGGAAAATATGAGGGAAATAAAACAAATAAGTTAAGAATTTCTTCACATTTAGAACCTGATTCTTTCAAATCAGCTTTTGACTTGATGTTTCGGCCATGTTGGTGCCATGTATGAGACAGGAAGAGGAGTGTGGGGCAGAAATTAAGAGTAAAGATTTGAATGTGTGGCACT